AAAAGAGTCGATTAAACTTATGTCTTTAATTGAGATAATATCTGCGCATAAAAAGATAAATCGAATAAAAAATATTTAATAGAGATATACATTCGCAAGAAAAAAGGTTAGACATCATCAAATAAATAGTTCAGCATAAATTCAAATTATATTTTTTCTTTATTTATTTGATAAAAGCATTTTACATGAACAACGTAGTATATTCTCAACTGAATCCAATTACTTTCAAATCGATAAAAACATCAACATATAATAACCATGTTTTTGAATAAAGAAAATCTGCTAGAGTGGAGAAAAACATCAACGCTATTTGTAGAAGTTTGAAAGCTGTACTGCATTACACAGAGAATAGTTTCGGGCTTTTTTTTAAAAAAACAAAAAAATGTCTGAAATATTAGTAATCGTAATGTCAAAGTTTCTAAATCAAATAAACTGCTAAAATTGAGTAGAGAGAGTATTATTAAATTATTGTTTAATGAAGATTCGCATTATGAAAAGAAAAATAAATGAAATACTAATTATTTCTCAACTTCCATCTAGAAGTAAAATTTCAGCATCGTCTTGTCTTAATGAGCTTCTCTAAAATGTCAAGTACTCGTTTGTATAGATAAGAATGAGAATGAAATTACCTATTCTAAAAAGCTTCATTATGCTGTTTATTAACACATGATTGCATGAACAAGTTTAAAATTCTTTTTCTCTCTATTGAATGTCATACTCTTAACGCATATAATTTTCCACGCCAAAACTTAGCTATAGTTGAGTGGTACTATTTTTAAATTTAAATATGTAGTTCATTCATCAATTAAAAATTACTACATTGCTTTACAAGAATTTTAAAGATATTCAGCCATTCTTGAACAAAGTCTTAACTTACAGAACGATGTTCTGAAGAAAACAAAATATCTTATAAACTTTTTGTTTGTTTGAAATACAATAACAAGAAAGTATGAATTTCTATTAATATAAATCATACATTTTTGTTAGAGCAACATGAATATTTACACGAGTCTGATGAACGTCTTTGTTTTTCTCATTAAAATCATCTGATGAGAATAGAATCCAAATTGATATTTGAGAAAGACGGTATTAACTGTTATTTTCCTAAAGTCTGTAATTATCTATAAAATAACAAAATGAATTTCGTCTTTTCATCATTCTAGTATAATGGTTTATAATGGTGCACAAACCTCATTGACTTTACTTGTTTTAAATGAAACAATTAAAAAAAATGATTGCAATCGATTAAATTGTTCGGTTGGTCCAACAGAAGCAGTTTTAATTGCATTTAATATTGGTCGTATAATATCTTTACTTTGTGTTATTTTTGGCATTCTTGGAAATATTGCACTTATTTTAATTATTTTTCGATCATCATTTTGTTATTTTTCATATGGCTTAATTATTTTATTCATTTCAACATTTGATATAATTCGTCTTATTTCTACTATTGTTTATTATTTAATACAAGCTAATATAATTCCATTGAAATTATCAACTTTAACAATTTATATCACATTATATCGTTATCCAAAAATTGTTACAAATTGGTTAAAAGTATTTTTATCTATTGAAAGAGTTCTTGCTGTTAAATATTGGATTGCACATCGTTATAATATTAATTCAAACAATGCAAAAAGAATTCATCGTTCACGACAAAGAAAAGTTTTATTATTAATTCTTATTTTACTTCTATGCTGTTTAATAAGTCAACATCCAAATTTAATTCCATATCGTTTTATATCGACACGTATTCATCCAAGTCGTTTACTTATTATTGCTACACAAAATCTACATTTTTATTATGGGAATTATGTATTTAATGGTTTTTTATATACTCTAATTAGTTATGTTATTCTTGATGATGTTTTACCAATAATAACATTAATCATATCTAACACAATTCTTCTTTATGAATTAAGGCGTCTACCGACACTAACAAGTAAAAAATTAGCTGAATCAATATTTATTCTTTTCTTTCTGACAATATTTTCAATATTTGTTGTACCAAGATCATTTCTTGTTATTTTTAATTTATATGTCGATCAAAAAGATATTAATGATACAATTATTTCGGTGGTATTTCATACATGTCAAGGTATCTATCTATCTATCTACATACAGCATGATCACGATATTTTTGATAGTTTTCTTCGGTTTACTGTACTTCTGCTAAACTTGAGAAGTTATTTCTTTTTCTAGTCAAAATGCAAAAATGAATAAAATAGATCCTATACAGTTCGATAGAATAATTGATGCTCTATTCAACGATATGGACACAGGAAACTTCCGAGGTTTTGCAGAAGTACAGCAAGCTGAGAAAAGCCATCAAAAATAACGCGATCATGCTGTATATGATGAATATTTGGTTTATAATTTTTGATTTCATTTTTTAGGTCTTGAATTGATTAATCACGCAATAACTGGTTATGCATGTTTTTTAAGTTGCCACAACTTGCAAAAAGGTTTAATTCAAAATATTCGAATTATATTTGAAAAGTTTCGACGAAAAAACAATTCATTGAAACCAACTACAATCGAACTACATACAATAACTCAAAAATGATTATAACCTTTATTTAATCTTGTAAAAATAAATATTCGAGCATCTATTTTTTCGACTTAGTTTTACTATCTTCACTCTCTTGATTGTACAATCGTCAGTTAGAAGAGCTACGTAATTTACAATTTCGTTTTCTTTTCACATTTATCTATCTACTATTGCAGACTTATTAAAGATAAATGTCAGATATATGTGTATATATATAAAATGTGTTGCTCTTTATGAAGGATGAATGAATAGTAGATAAATTGAAAAAATTGTTCTCTTGAAAAAAGTGATGAATCAAGATAAACTAGTGTATATTGGATCAGGTGCATCTATTGCAATTGTTTTATTTATTGGTGGACTACTTATCGGCCATTTTGCTATTCCAAGATCATCTTATACTATTGATGCACATACTATATCAACAGTAAATAAACGAACTGAAGAAGAACGAAAGATAATATGGAATGATTTGAAACAACGATTTCTTAATCGTGTTAATGCACAAGAAATAGAAAAAAATCTTCAGTGAGAAAAACGTTTATTCTTTCTTTTCTATTGAAAAATTTTAAATTATTAATTTAATATAGCAATTTTACTCGAAATACTCATTTGGCTGGAACAGATGATGATCGTAATGAAGCTGAATCCATTGCTAAACAATGGCGTGAATATGGATTAGATGTTACTACATATCCATATGATGTATTACTTTCATATCCACATCTTACACAACCGAATATGTAAAGATATTTCTATATTAATTTTAGAAAACTTATTGATTTCAAATTACATATAATTTGTTTTCATAGTGTATCAATTCTTGATCAAAATAATAACTTCATATTTCAATCCAATGGAAGTGAACCAATGTTTAACGAAGATGATAAATCGTTACCATTTAATAATATAGTTCGACCATTTCTGGCTTATACTCCAAATGGAACTGTACAAAGTCAAAAATTATTTTATATAAATTATTGTACTATAGAAGACTTTCAATTTATACAAACTATTATTAATAAAAATGAATTGAATGGAAGTATAATTATATGTCGATTTGGAAAAATTTTTCGTGGAAATAAAGTAAAACTTACATGCAAAAAAATAATAATAATAGGAGAATTTTTATATTTCATTTCGTTTAATTAGATTAATAATGCTGAAAAATATGGTATAGTTGGAGTTATTTTATATAACGATCCGATTAATTATGCACCAAATTTCACTAGACCTGGCTCAACATATCCAAATTCAATTTATATGCCTGATATGGGACAACAACGTGGTTCGGCATTAATTTTATCTGGAGATCCATTAACAAAACATTATCCTGCTAAAGGTGATTATTTGAATTTAATCCTACTAATATGATATTTTATTAATTATCTATTTACTTTAGATTACATGTATAGAGCTTCAATAGATAATAATCCATGGTTACCAAAGATTGTTGCTCAACAGATTGGTTATAGAGAAGCAAGAGAAATCTTAATGTAAGTTTAACATACAAATGACAAAGTTCAACATGTTCTTTCAAACTGATAATACATTTTTGATAAAATAAAACAAAAGCTTTGAATATAACTTTAATGATAATTGAGAATCTCTCTTACATAACAACTGTCACAGTAAATCAAATCTTTTTCTTATTATTTTTTGTTTTCAAGCTTTATGTCTTCTGCTATAATTGACAAAACTCAGAAATAATCATTTGTTTTCTTCTCTATTAGAAACTATAACTATGAAGAGAAAATCGATTTAATACAAAGTTTATTTCATTCAGTTTTGTAGAATTAACAAACATACTGAGGTTCAACATATCAATCATCTTGAGATAATATTTCAAGAATAGATCAGAACAGCTTGTGTACACTACAATAATACAAGTATGCTATTGCATGACTGTTCCAAGTTATTATTCACAAATATTTGTCTCAATGTAGTTCATTGCTAATTAGCATCAAAGTTCATATACATAACATTTAAAGCAACAGACAAATACACGAACATATGGATGGACGAAAAATTTTGAGACAAACTGTTTTCTCATTTTTTTTTTGATCTATTCAAATAATTAGCAGAAGCTGTAAAATATTGATTTAGAATGAAAAGTTTGTGCTCTTTATGAATCAATGATTGGCATTTTTGTTAGGTCTCCTATTTTATAGATTATCAGAGAGCCTTTGAAAGGCTTGAAAATAAAGTTTGGATGAAAAACACTGTGGCGTAGAGATGTTCATTATGTTTAGGTTTCATGTCTTTTCGTTCTGAATACATCACATTTTGAAGCATTTTTTCGATCAATACCTATACAACAGATATTATTCTCATCAAATGATATCCACAATTGCACATGTTCTACTAGCAATCTTTTGTTTTCACAGACTGCCGACCGAGACCGTGTTCTTCAAAGTGCATTAAGAACTGAGTTTCTCAAGGTAATCCTCTGGATATGAACGAATACATTTTGTGAGTTTGAAAACTAAAGAATCGCAAAAAAAAATATCACTGTGCTTCTCGTTAAAGCTTTCATTGTTGATAGACGTCTTATAGAAAAGAAATGATCAGTATATCATTTTATAGAGGAATATTTGTTCTGCCTTTCGACTTATTTGAAATAAATTTCACTTCTATCATGTAGGATTGTTCTTGCGCTCTGAAATTGGTCCAAGCTTTATTTTGAGACCTTGCATATATTCACTCATAACTCCTAAAATATAAGTCATACAAAAATTCCAAATCTAACTCACATCCATTGTCATAAAATTTCTGCTGATTCTCTGAATCAGTTGCTGAATGACGGAAGATTTTGTCTCGAAAACTTTCGATTCATCTGGTAACAATCATTATAGGAAATCATGTTGTCTTTTGTTTTTCAGTCGAATGACAGGACTATCAGTTATATCCAATTGGACTGGTGGTCTTGATCAAGTGAACTATGTCTATGGTGGTTTATTAGTAGATGATCTGTAAATATAAATTGTTGTTCTTTAAAATCAAAACTTTTTTAAAACTTATAATGATAGATCAATACAAATATCATCCTACAATACATTACAAATTCGACGAGTACATAATGTAATTGGAACAATTACTGGTCATATTGAACCAGGTTCTATTTGATCTTTTGTTATTATTTTTTTCTAATTGAATATTTTCGTTTTTGTCAGATCGTTATGTACTTATTGGAGCTCATTTTGATGCTTGGAATTTTGGAGCGATGGACGATGGATCTGGCATAGCTGTTAATCATGAATTAGTACGTGTATTTACATCATTAATAAAATCGAGTAAGTCATTAAACATTATAAAATATATTTATTATTTACTCACATTTAGATTGGAAGCCAAGACGAAGTTTAATGTTCTGTGCATGGGCTGCTGAGGTAAATAATTTAAAATATTTCAATAAAAAAAAAAACATTTTTTCATTTTAGGAATATGGAATTGTTGGTTCAATTGAATTTGTTGAAGTAAAAAGAAAATAAATATATTTCTTTCTTTTTATTATTATATCCATTATCTTATGAAAGGAATTCGCCAAGATATTAGGTTCACGTGTTGTTTCATATCTTAACATGGATGCTATTGTTGCAGGTAAAAATATTGTAGGTTTTTTTCCTTCTTTTTTATGATATTTTCATATAGGTAGGGAATTAATGCTAATGGAAATGTCTCCATTACTATATGATGTTGCTATTGATATATCTAAACAAGTATGTATGATGTTTATTCTGAAAACAGGACAAGTTTTTGTTTTTAATCTAAGGTAAAAGCAGCATATACTAATGAAACAATTTATGAACAATGGATACGTATTAACAACGGCGATCATAATGTTGGAGAGAAATTTTTGTAAGTTAGTTTTTATAAGATTAGACATTATGAGAATTTGTTATTGTGTAGCATAATGGGACTTAGTGCTATTTCGGATTTTGCTGGTTTTAATCAAATTGCTGCAAGTTCAAATATTGCAATGGTTTATTTAAATGAAGTTTGTTTGTAGGAAAACAAGCTTCTTTTTTTCTAAAATTAACATTTTTGTTTAGAACGATGCCAAAACTATTGGTGCTTATCCATTATATCATACTCAATATGAAACTTTTCGTTTAGTTAAAACATTTGTTGATCCTGAATTTCAAGTGAGTTAATATTTGATAATTTTTCTTTTGAAATTATATTATCAGTTATAACGATGATGTTTTTCTTTTATAAAAGATATATCTACAATATAATGGATAATGAAAAAGTTCTGAATTAATTTTGTTTTCAGTATAGAATGAGAAGAAGTCGTCGTAAAGATTTGAGAGTTTTCTTGTTAGAAAGAACAAAGTCTTTACTTTAAAGCTATGTAAAAATATTCGGTTCAAACGACTTAGCGAAGACTGACAAGTAGACATTATAAGTGAAACTTCATTGAGTATTGTAGAAGAAAAAGTCAAGTTTTTAGTTGAAGTGTTTCTATGGGATCTTTGGATTTCTAACAAGAATATTTTGAGATCACTAAAAGTTCACGGTGCATTGGGTATACTCATACATAGCATCTCTAAAAGTTTTGAAAGTCGAATCGAAGGCAAATCGGTCAAATACAGTTCTCATCACTAACCTTGTGTGACGTTGCTCTCGGTAAATATTTTAAACCAAATATTTTTACTCAGCTTTATAGTAAAGATTCTACTATTTCTAACATCGTTATTCTTGAAGATGAAGGTAACAGAGAGATTCTTTTTATTGTTATAGGCTCATCAAGCACTTGCTCGAGTAATTGGCTTATTAGGATTAACTCTGACTGATATTGATTTACTTCCGTTTAATCCTGCAAGATATCATCAAGCACTTCTCACTTTGCTTAAAGTAACAAAATCTATTGCACCTAGTTCGATCAATTTTAGTAAGTTTATACAAAATTGTTTGTTATATTTGTAAAGTTTGATAAATATTAGCATCATTACAAAATGCAATTGATGAATTTAAAACTGTTGCTGATGAATTCAATCAACGAATTCAAACGACACTTGATAAATCAAAGTAGGATTTTTTTTTATCTGTAGTGGTCTTCAACAAAGTGTCTTTCTTTTTATATCGACTAAGCAGTCGTACTAATGGCATATATTTGTATTACATTAAACGAGAATATCACAAAAAAAAGGAAACTATCAGAATAATCTATGTGAGATTAAAATATGTGAAATAATGGAGTTACTGGCATTGTAAACCAGGGAAACGATGAGATGTCTTTCAATGACAGGGAACTAATAAGATCTTATATATCTCACATATCGTGGTGATGAAATAGGTTAAGAATCAAAGTGAGCTTGAAGGGAAGCAGTAGTCAAATAAGTTAGTTATAAGATTGAATTATGTCTCTCAGTTTTGCCGTGTATTTCAATTTCATGCTTAGGTTTGCCATGGTCTTTAGCATGCAAAGATCCAAATATTTCACATTATACTAACGTCCTTCTTTTAGATCTGAAATCACAAAGAGCATTCCATTATCTTCTTGTCATAAAGACTAAGAGTTCTTTTTTTTTTTCATTTATAATTTAAAGGAATTATTTCAAGAAAAATTCATATTAACAGCACAAAAAGAAATCAATTTTATCTCTCTAGGTCAAATTTTACAGTGAATAACCGAGTTGATTTTTTTTCATATATCTATATATATATATATAACCGAAGAACAGATTGAGATATATTCTATTCTGAAATCAAGTAGTACAAATATCGAAATAGTTAATCTGTACATGAATACATATTATAGTCCAATACAAGTTCGAATAGTCAATGATCAATTGATGCAACTCGAACGAGCTTTTCAAAATCCATTAGGTAATAGTATTCAGCAAGCTGATCTTAAGTAAGTAATCAAATAAAATCTATAAAAACTTCTATGATTAATATTTAATATGTAGACACACAATATATGCACCGAGTCGAACAGATCGATACAATGCACGTGGATTTCCAAGTATAACTGATGCTGTCGAAGATCGTAATATAACAAATATTCACCAACAAATTTCACTAGTTACATATTTTATTCGTTCAGCAATAAGTGTTCTTCACCAACCAAATAGAATTCAAACAACATCATGAAATATTTAAAAGAAAACTAATAAAAATAGGAAACATTTTTTTCTCTTAATTTGTTGGCATAAATATTTTGAAAAAAATTGTTATCTACATTTTATTTTGAATCTCTTTTTCTCTGTACAAAACACAACAGTACAATAAAAAATAAAAATATAGCACATTGAAATTATAAAATTGTCTTTTATTTCCGGGTAATGATTGACTATATAATTTTGATGTTGATTATTTCTATATTAATATAAGAAGTTTCTAATAGTTTTGATATTGTGAATAAATTTGCATTGATATATCTGGTTGTTTTTGTTTATAAAAAATAGTTTTTAATTTAGTTAATTGATATTTTATGTGATTAATACAAATTTGACTTCGATTTAAAAGATATTCTTTACATATTTGATATTTTAATTGAATAAATTGAAATAGTTTTATCAATAAGCCATGATATAATAACAAAACACGACGATTGCACACATAAACAACAAATATAAATAACCCGGGTGTTGCATTAAGAAGTATAAATAAATAGTGAAATATAGCTACAAGATAATATTGAAAACCTTGTTGACTATCAGGTAAAGCAAATAAAATAAAACCAATAGTCCAACCAAAACCAGCTAAAACAGCCATACGCATATAAATTTTGACATCATGTTCACCAGGTACAACTTGTTTTTTTTGTTGAAATTTACGTTCGACTTGTCCACGAACTAGATAAAAAAAGTATTCATTTAAGATATGAGAAAAAGTTAAGTTTATTATTTTTTACTAGATTTTATACTTCGACGAATATTTCGAACAGTTAATGCATAAAATATAAAATTAATAATGAGAATGATTGCTACAGGAACACCAAATAATAAAAAACGCATCACTGCTGATTCAATCCAACAACCTAAACATATTATAGAATATCTTAGATTGGTTATATAGATGTTAAAAAAATTCTTCTTCAGTCATAAAACGATTGATTGGTCAGCTGCGGCGTAAATTTCCGTTCGTCTTCATTGTTACAAGAAGATATTTAAAATTTGAATATTATATTCTACTAAATAAATTTCAATTTTTAACAGAAACGTTAGTATTATAATTTTTAGTTTAGTATATATAGTTTTCAATAGGAAACAACAAACAGTCATTTTGCATCTTCAACATAAGGTAATCTTTATAAGAAAAAATACTTTTTACCATCAATTTTTCATTGTCTTTTCTTGAGTGCTTTTACACAGTACATACAATTCCTTATTCACGTTCAGCAGTACTTTGTTTTCAGAGATCAAAACAATTAGTAAATGGAGTGTGTATATCTCTTAGAAAAGCTACATATTCATTCGAAAGTATTGTTTTCTTGGTTAATATTGTAATATACCAAGTAAGTCAAAATGATTGCAACATCGGCTATTTTGAAAAGATAAGTGATGAAATTTTCTCTAATAGTCAAAGTAAAAACATTTCTCTCACGAGGGAACCTTTTCAGGTGATACCCTCCGTTTTGATTCCTTCGTATCTCATTTAATCGAGTATATTGAGGTAGTAAAAAGTCTAAAGAGATCTTTTCCCAGTGTTCTTCGTTCAGAAGTTA